ACTGTTCGAGTCCTAGACCTGGAGGCTTGCTTTCTCACTTTCCCTTTCTCTCTCTCTCTCTCTGACCAAACTAAAAACAAAACAAAAACAAATAAAATTAAATAATTCTCAAAAAAAAAAAAAAAAAAGGTACGCAGAGAAGGGAAAGTCAGAAGAGAACATACTAGAATTGCAAAGCGAAGACGGGAGACACTGGGAGCACAGGGTGGGGGTGACAAGGAGGGCCGGTGAGAGAAAGGCAGGGCCACCGGCCGCCGCCCTGCACAGCTGCACGACAGGAAATGACCGACAGGAAAATGAACGGGATGCAGAGGCAGCGTGGAGATGGGGCTTGATCTCCCAGCACATTTGGACGCCCTGAAGCAAAGAGGTGTATCTCCCCTTTCTGTGAACAGCTGGCACTTAAGGGCGAGAAGTGCCCAGCCTGGGTCTGGGCAACGCTGCCCGCCTCCTGCAAGGCTAAGCCATCTGGGAGCGTGGAGACTTGTGCTGTGCACGACACGCTCGCATCCACGGATGACGACAAGGACAGAATGAAAGCACGCCGTGGCACCCTCCCCCTCCAGCACATAGAGGATCCCCACTGGAGAAACCCTGACCCACAGGGATAGGTCCCCCTTAGAGTACAGAACGGGAGACCCTTCACCTCCAACCCCACTGCTGGGGATGTGCGCTGGGTGTTTTGGGACGCAGGCAACTCGTTTCCTAGTCTTGGGGTGCTCTGCCCTGCACCTGGAGTCCCTCTGGGGCTGCTGTCCCCCCTCTTTAGTGCAGCACTACAGACCCCCCCATTCATGTGCCCCCATGGGGCAGGGCTGAGTGCCCAGCCACAGGCCTGTTCTGAGCCCCGTACCCACTGCCCTGATCCCCAGGCCCAGGAAGGGCCTCGCCGGCCGTGAGCTCCAGCAGGCCACGTGGGTACGAGGGGTGCAGCCACGTGGTAGACACCGCACACTTGTGAAGGTGTGTTCGCTGGCGGGAGGGTCGGGTTGGCTTACTTTCTGGAAAGGCAGAGCACCCAGAGCCGCTTGCTTGCTGGGGACTGTTGCCAGGCTCAGCCTGGGGTGGGGGGGAGGACCCAGGCCACAGGCTTCCTTCCCTGGGGCCCGGCGGGAACAAAGGACAGGAATCATTTCCTTCCTTTTTCCAATAAACTCTGGAATCTGATGTGAGCAATACGGATAGGAACAGAACAATTCCTGCCCCCGGGAACCCACCACAGAGAAACAGAGCTGGCCAGTGGGAGAAGCTCCTGCCCGTGAGCCAAAGCCAGAGGCAGCCCTGAAAGTGTGTCCTGAGGGACAGGGGACACCGAGTGACAGAAGGAGACAGTGTCAGCAGCAATGTGGTTGCTGGCTCCTCTGCGGCTGCAGGACCAGGGGCTGTGGGCAGGAGGTGGAGCTGGGAGAGGACCAGAGGTCCTGGCTAGGTTCATCCCACTGGATGCACCAGGGAAGGGGCCTGGGGAGAGTCACATGCCTGAGCCCGCGTCAGTCACCAGGGCTGGAGTGGGTAATGGTAGGGACGCTGGACTCCAACGCTCAGTGCCAACTGCCTTGACCAGTCTGGCCAATCCCTTTCACTCGCTTCTAATTTGCAAGCGTTTTTCTTTTGAAATATTTATTTCCCTCTCGCTCAGCAGTTTGGGAACATACACGCAACTAACAGCCAGCTGTACAAGGGCACTTTTCTAGGTGGGAGAGACAAACTACTTGTTGAGACTTGCTTAACGGCAGAACCCAGGTCATGAAAAAAAAAAAAAAATCACCAATGCTTAGAAAAGGAAATTATGGACCTGCAGGCGGTGTGGAGGTTAAGGCACTGGATCCCACAGGGTCAGCTGAGTGGTTCGAGCCTGGGATCTGGCAACTTGAAAAATCAGGCCAGGCACGTGTGTACGCAAGCCTAAAATCCAGAGAGGAGGCAGGACTGCGGTGTGGCCACCACCCCTGGGGGCTGATTTCTCGTTTCTCTCTCTCTTTCTGTGGCAAGTGCACACGCACTATAGCAAAAACTTTTTAAAAAGAGAACAAGCCTAAGGCGCAGGGAACAGCACCCCAAGGAGGCAGGACTGCAGTGTGGCCACCACCCCTGGGGGCTGATTTCTCGTTTCTCTCTCTCTTTCTGTGGCAAGTGCACACGCACTATAGCAAAAACTTTTTAAAAAGAGAAAACTACCTTATTGCCACAAAAGCATTGTATTCAATACCACAATTTTCCCCTACCAATGAAGACTCTTATTTCTCTATGCACAAGTAACTACCAGAAACAGCCTGAGGGTAAATCCTTCTAAACACTTTCATGCATATACTTTCGCATATATGAACATACATGGAAAGCTGATCATGGGAGCCCAGTAACATTTGCACGACTGCACAACCGTTATTTTCCTGTTTAAAGCCTTTCTCGCCAGCTCCCCCAGCTCCCCGCGGTCAGGCGCCCACCCCCGTCCTGTGTGCACACAGCAGATGGCGAGTCCGAGGGCAGAGGGAAGAGCACGCAGCAGGTGGTGTGGCCGAGGCCTGGCGTTTCCACCAGGAAGCTACACTACTCCGCACGGCACAGACAGGTCTTCAAGACACGGCTGGCTTCAGCAAGATCTCCAAGGAATTCTACCCGGTCTTTGGGAGAGTCATGATGCACGTTTGCACAGAGAAACAGGAAAATACGCCGTGACCTTCCTGGGACCTCATGCATAGGAACTGGCAAGGTTTACAGTAAAGCCTTCCAAGTAGAATCTGTCTGTCTTTTGGAGAGATTTTTGCTGTAGGGCCAGAGAGACGGAGAGACGGAGAGACAGAGAGCCAGAAATCACTCCCCCCAGGGCAGAGGGCCACGCTGCAATCCCTTCGCCTCCATCCTCCTCTTGGGATCTTGGGCACGCATGCACACGTGCCTAGCGTGTTTTAAGCCACCGAGTCCAGGACTCGAACTGCAGTCGACTACATGGCGGTGATTTAGCCAAGGGGAGTCCATCCATGTAATCATTACACCACCTGCGGGTCTGAACGTAGCTGGATTCCACACGGCTGACTGCGGTTCGAGTCCCGAACCTGGCTGTTTGCTTTGTTGCTTTCCCTTTCTTTCTCTGTCTCTCTCTGAACCTGGCCGTTTGCTTTGTTACTTTCCGTTTCTTTCTCTGTCTCTCTCTGGTGACATTAAAAATAACAACAATAATAAATGGAATTAAATAAATAAGTCTTTAAAAACTATATGCTGGGAAGTACCTACAATCCGGGTGCATGGCAGGATAAAGGACCAGGCTCTGGGAGTTAGGTAAGCACCCGGGTGGGAAACGGCAGAGGGTCTCCAGCCGAGGTTTTCTGCCACCCAGGCAGGGCCTTGGCCTCCGTAGCAGGGAAGATATGGGTCCCCAGGCCACCAGGGAGCTGCGGGTGGACTCAAGAGGGCTAGCCTACGCCCCTCGGTGGGGGCACAGCTGGGAAGGCCGGCAGAAATTCCATGCGCCCTCCTATGTGTGAGGCCCTGTGATGAAATTCCTAGTCAGGGGTGGGTCTCTACTGCACAGAGAAGTTAAGGCGGTTGCCCCAGGTCACACAGCTGCAGTGGCTGGAGCCCCAGGCCTCCAGGCCTGAGGCTCTATCTTACACACCTGCGGCTTAGCGGCAGCCCAAGCATGGGTAGTAACTAGAACATTCGCCTTAAATAAACTAAGGAGGGACACATGGGTTGTGATCGCTGGGGCAGAGTTGGGGTCCCCGGAGGGTGCAGGGGCTGGTGGGGCTGAGCTGGGGAAAGAGGCCTGACTCAGGGGCTGCTGGGGTGCAGTATAGGGGTGAAGGGACCAGATGCCAGAAAATGGGGACATGTCACCCCATTCTGCTTCACGGGCCGGGCTCGGCCACACCCCCCGTGTCCAACGAACCCCCAGTTCTGCGTCCTTCGGTCCCGGCCCCCCAATTCACCACTTCGGGTTCCTCAGTTGCCCGGCGGCTCCCTCCGCTCTTCAGACCCGGTTCCTCCCCAGCACACCTTGGGGTCCCCCATCGGAGCCTCGTCTCGGCCTCATGCCTCCCCAGCCCCCTTATTCCGTCTCGCGGGTTCATCACCCCATTTCAGCCCTGTGCGCTTTAGGCCCCCACCTGACCCTCACCCGAGCCCCCATCAGCCTCTCGATCCCGCCCCCAGGCTTTCCTCACCCCCACACCCCCGCGGGCCTCACCTGTGACCCTCACCCGAGCCCCCATCAGCCTCTCGATCCCGCCCCCAGGCTTTCCTCACCCCCAGACCCCCGCGGGCCTCACCTGTCGCCCTGCTGCTCGGCGCCCCGCGAGCTCTTTGCAGCCGGCCCCACCCACTTCCCGTCCCTCGCCGCCGCGGGCGCCGCGCAGGCGCAGTCGGGACCCTGGGCGGGCGGGGCCGGGGTACTGCTGCCCCCTGGCGGCCTCGCCACGCGTGACTGCAGCCCTGCCCCTGCTGAGCGAGCTGTTTTCGCGTTGTCTGTAGCCTCGGGTGGGCTGCAAGGTGGGGGACAGCGATCCCTACCTCACAACCCCAGAAATGAAGCAGCTTGTGCCGTCAGCAGCTGGAAAGCGACAGGGCAGGAACGTGATTCGCAGTTCCCAACGTACTGGCAGAAGCACACGCTCCAGGCCCACCATACTTTGGGGGGCTGTGCTCAGTCCACAAACTTAAAGAGGCTTAAAACCACACGGATCTGTTCTCTTACAGTTCTGCAGACCGGAAGTCCGCAGTCTCAGTGGGCCCAGCTCCAGGGGTCAGCAAGATGTGTTCCTTTCCGGGGAGTCCAGGGGAGAACCCCTGTTCGTTTTTTGTTTTGTTGCCAGTTCATGCTTTTTCTAAAAGTCACCTGCAAGGGCTCATGGTCCTTCCTCCTTACAGACAGCACCAGCCAGTCGCCCTTCTCACCCTGCCATCCCTCTGTGCCTTCTGATTCCTGCTACCACTTCTAAGGACCCTTGTAAAGACACTGGGGCCACCCAAATAATCCAGGATAGTCTTCTCTCTCTTTTTAAAAG